TAAGGAAATTCATGAAAATTCATGAGGTTAGAAATGAGGTTAGAAATGAGGTTAGATCTAACCATCTACCCTAAACATTATTTTTGCTGAATTCAACAACAAAATGAACGAGGTCAGGATGTATGCAAATACCTTTGAATTCATTCATAACGCCTTAGTAAGCTCATAAAATGCTTGTTTTTGCATCACATTTTGACGAAGTGAAGATCTTCACTTCGTCAAAAAATCCCTGAAATCAAGAATTAATTCCCGTCAAATACAAAAAATGAGGGTAGAAATGAGGTTAGAAATGAGGTTAGAAATGAGGTTAGATCTAACTATCTACCCTAAACATTATTTTTGTTCATGGACTTCGTCCTCGCCGCTTCGGTCTGAAAGACCTCAGGACTCAAAGAGTCCGTTTGCGTCTTTATGTTAAAATAAATGGTATCATTAATAATACATGACTGTTCTCATTCATGTCTGATTTACATCTAATGAAAAAGTTTAGAAGAATTTTCTTATTCTTTCTGGCATATTTTTGTCTTTCCAGTACTCCCGCTCTAATGGTCCCAGATGTGTTGGCTTTGACTCTCTCAAGTTCTTAGATGGTATAACATCTTCAACGCCTCCTTCATATCTTACTTTATAAGTGTCATCGTTTATGTTATAGCCAAGTATTTCAATAACCACTCCTCGCTTTGCTTCGTCAATGGTTTCAGCAAGTTTGCCATTACTACTTTCGACTAATTTATGTCGAGGGTAAAACGCAATAGAGTCGTCAGCAGCTTTTATAAGATATCCATTACCTTGCGTAGAGTCTACGATATAATAGTTTCGACTTAACCTTAAACGTTTCTTTGTCAACGGTTTGTCGTCAAGAACTACACGAACTTTTGTACCAGGAATGAGGGTAAATTGTGTTGAATTTCTGATATTTTGTGTTTGGCTTCGTTTCTTTTGTATATACTTTTCTTCTTGTTGTTGTGTCATTGAATTTGGTGTATGTCCTGTTGTAGAATGTGTTGAGGAATTATATACTTCGAGAAAATGTTTCATTGTTTCTTCGGTAAAGTCTCGCTCTTGATTTAAATCTCTGAGCGTTCTTATGAAGCGGTTTATGATGCCGAGTATGTTATGGTTATGGTCTTCAGTAGTGTAGTGAGTTATGTTATGCTTAATGAGAAAATCTGTGATTTCATTGCTGAGGTATGCACTGTCTTGGTCTGATGTTAAAGTACTTGGGCTATGTTCTGCTACAAACTTTTGTAAAACTCTTACACTTCACGAGTTCCTTTATTTTTCATTGGATATGCATATGCTTTACGAGTGTTAACATTAATGAAGATGAGGAATGGTTTATGTCCTCCTTTTCTGCTTTGAATGAGAGTGTCAAATTGGTATGCGTCAGGAGTGTTGGAGTAAATTGGTAAAAAGTAGTCGTAAGGGTTTATTTTTGTTTGATGTACAACATTTTTGTCAAAGAACCTTTTCACTTCAGCTCTGTTAGTAAATCCCCAACTCTTTGCAGCTTCATTGAACTTCTTAAATGACCTCCATGGATGTTGTTCGAATACTTCTTTCAAGCTCATTTATGTAAAGTTAAAGATTTTATTCTAGGCTCAAGCGCGTTCATTGAACGCGGTACCATGCGAATACAGTCATAAATGGTGGCATATAATCTTCACCCGAGCCTGTTGGATTTGTTGTGAAAGTGTGTGAATGATTTCCTGTGGTTCCACAGAAAATACCTGCGCTTGAATCTACTGGGTCACTTGAAATATCATATCTATGCATTCCCTGTCTATCCGAACCTGCTGCAAGATTTGTATAACCTCTTTTTGTTATTGAATGTGAATGACTACCTGTTGTGTTTGTAGTTCCTGTATGAGTGTGCGGTGGAAGGTTTGCTTCTTTAATTTTCTTCGAACCCCCTGTTTGCTTTGAAGAGTTAGCACAGTATAAGAATTTGTCTACAATCTGCTGCCATGTACCAAAACCTAAAACACTTGCTGGATTTGTTGAGTTCATTGACGTATAAATAGAGCCAACAGGATATAATGTTTGAAGAATCTGGGCCTTCATTGTTTGAAGCTCTGTTTTGTCTGCTTTCTTATCTAACATTGTTGGTAGTTCATATGCTTCAAAGTTTCTGGCATGATCTTCGATATTCCTGCAACTCTTATCTAAATTGTTAAGAGTATCTTTTACGCTTGTACTCGGATTCTCTAAAGGTGCACTTGAACCCAAATCATAGTTCAATATTATGTCGTCTGCTCTAACAGTAGTGAAGGATTTATGTGTATGATTTTTGTCGGCTTTATTGTCTAACATTGATGGTAGTTCATATGCTTCAAAGTTTCTGGCATGATCTTCGATATTCCTGCAACTCTTATCTAAATTGTTAAGAGTATCTTTTACGCTTGTACTCGGATCTCTAAAGGTGCACTTGAACCCAATCATAGTTCAATATTATGTCGTCTGCTCTAACAGTAGTGAAGGATTTATGTGTATGGTTTTTGTCTGCTTTGTTGTCTAAAGAAGTTTGAAGTTCATTTATATCGGAGATATTGTGTTTATGAGATTTCAAAACTTTGTTCGTTGCGTCAAGTTCATTTTTGTCCGCTTTACTTTTAATAGCATCTTCAAAAGTTATTTTTGACTTAACTCTCAAAGTAAATCTTGGTTCAACTAATACACCGTTAACAAAGAAGTATGAAGCATAAATTTCAGCGTTATAACCAAATGATTGTGGTGCTATACCTGTGTCATACTGTACAGTACAGTGTATGTCATAACCTTTAGCACGAATGAATTTATATCTTCTTTCATTAACATTTTTCGTCTTCACTTCTTCATCCTGTGTTAAATATCCATGATAGTCCGTTATAATCTGTTCGTCTGAACTTATATAATGAACATGGTTCTTGTCCGCTTTACTATTTAATGTAGCTTGAAGTTCATTTATATCGGAGATATTGTGTTTATGAGATTTCAAAACTTTCTTCATTGCGTCAAGTTCATTTTTGTCCGCTTTACTATTTAATGTAGCTTGAAGTTCATTTATATCGGAGATATTGTGTTTATGTTCTTTATCTGCTTTTTCGGCTAATTTCTCTTCTATCTCATTTATTTCAAGTTCATGCCTACACACCACTCCCGAAGAAGTATTTTTCTTCAGCTCTGAAGAACGTCCACTTCGCCATCTTTGGTGTCAATAATGAGACTTTGTGTTAAAACCTTTCCTGTCTTAATGGATGTTTGTAAAACTTCTTCTTCACCGTGTTCGGGGTCATGGTCGTCATCATATCTTGTGAAATCAGAGATGTTGTCATACATTAAGCATATCTGTCTCAAAAGTTCTGCTATTTGAAACTGGAACGAAAGATATACAGAACTTTTCATCATCTCCTAAAGTCAAGTCTGCTTTCTTAAGTATTTCTTGAATGTATGCAATGAGAACAGAGTACCTTGGAAAATATTCGAACAATATTTCATTAGCTGTTGGTTTTGGTGGTTCTTCGGAGTTCTGTTGTTTCAGTTCCTTCTGTAGGTTCTGTTGGAGTTTCTGCATCTCTTGACTTCAATGCTCTTTGCTCTCAAAGACCTAAATGTTAGAGCACCGGGTTTTACAAAGGACTTTATAAATGCTTTAATAGTTCCTGGTAAGTTATTGTTAGCATTAAGTAAGTTCCTTATGCTTCCATCATGTACGTCCATAGCACTATGTAAAAAATCTATACTTTTCTTGTAGTCAGCAATAGACTGACTGTGATTTTTTAAAGATTTGTCAATACCTTTAAGCCAATCTTCATGCATGTCTGATACTGAGCCAAGAATATCATTTGCTTCCTTTAGTGTATTTTGTGCTTCTCGTAAAGTATCCAATCCCGTACGTGCATTATTTGCTATACGTCTTACAGTATCTATTTGACTCCTTGTTTCTTGCATCCAACCAGATAAAGTTTTAATAGTATCCGAACCATTTGAAATGAAGTTCAAAGCATTTTTAACGTCATCTAAAACTTGTTCACCAAGTACTGCCCATATCTTTCCGATTTGGTATTGAAGAACTCCATATGAAGCAGCTGTTAAACCAGTATTTATAAGGTCCCATATCCATGATTTAGCAGTTTTTCCATCCTTTCCATCCTTTCCATCCAAACCGTTTTCGCCTTGAGGTCCTTGAATTCCTTGAATTCCTTGTATTCCTTGTGGTCCTTGAGGTCCGGTGTCACCCTTCTCTCCTTTCAGTTCATCTTTATGTTCGTTATAATATTCTAATGTCATAAGGTGTACATCATTACTGCTACCAGCAACGCCGAGAATTTGTTTCTCATTCATGACTAAATTCTTTAGGCATTTAATGTTGTCGTCAAATCGAAAGCTCTTTAACAATTCAATGAGAACATTTAATACTTTCACTAATGAGGCATCTACTGTAGAATTTATATATTGCACCGTTCCATCATTTATGATAGGAACTTTACTTATTGTAATGAATGGGTCATAAGTGTTAAAAGTATCGAAATCAATGACTTTTTTAGTCTTTCCATCGTCAATGACTAAATCATTGCCTTCAATGGTTAAAGTTGAGTTTTCGTTTACTAGTTCATGTGCTCTTCTTGCTTCATTTGTTTCATACGCATATGCAGCAATAGTCATATTTTAATGAGAATAAAATGTTGTTCTATTTGCAAAGTACAGACCCAAACGAATATGGAACAGTAAAGCTTCAAACAAACTTAGGTCTTCAGAATGAAGCACTTGCTTTCAGAGTTGTTGACTTCAATACTATCGCAACTTTTGTCATAACAGATGAAACAGATTTCATAGAGATTGAAATAGATGACAAAAGAAGTTTTATAACATTTCCTAACAGAGCAGAGTATAGAATAGATAAAATTGCTGGAGTCATAGATACTCTCATAAATGAAGAAACTATTGACAACATAGATGTCAAACTCTCTTCTGAGGGAACATTGAAGTTCAGTAGCAAGAAAGAGTTCAAGATAACACGAATGAGTCATAGAGTTCAATTGCTTCTGGGAGCATACCATATGCAACTACCTTTGAAAAGTGTTGACAAAACGATTGAGATGAAATCTGTTCCATACGTATGTTATGGCAACTGTTTGTACATTGAGTCAAAAATAGCTAATGTCACAGGCATTTCAGGAGTTAATAGTAAAGGTTCAGTAGAGTATAAATCTTTCTGTTATGAAGTAAATTCAATGTTCATTCCAAACGTTCCTGTCATAGCAACTCATTTAGGTAAATGGGTTCGCATTAGTCCTCATAATTTGAAAGACATGCAATTCAGACTAGTTGACTTTCAAGGCGAGCCTATAGAACTGAAGGCACCAGTGCGAATGACTGTTGAAGTTGACTTTTTAGAAAATATTAAATGCAACAGCTTACAAGAGAACTCAGAGCTAAAAATATAAAGTATGAATGTTATGTATTAGGTCATGAACTTTGGTTGTTGCTGTTTGATGAAACAAATGAGTTAGTTATGTCAGTCAAGAGAACAGAAAAATATTGTGTTAGTGAAAACTGCACCAAGTCAATAAGATTAGGTTTGCATTATGAAGATGAGTTCGATACTGTTGAAGAAGTTTTGGATAGATATTACAAATTGCTTTAATTTACTAAAACATATTTCAAGCAAAGTTTATAGTAAGTAGATAGTTTTGTATACTCGTTTGAATATTTATACTTAAACTCAACTCCTGGAGTACCTGGTGTTTCAATGATGCGGATGTTACCTATTTTCATGAATATTGGAGTTTGACCACAGCATTCGATTTCAGGGTCGAGATAGTCAATGACACATTGTTTCCCTGTTATTCGTGATATAACATTTTCAAGGTCCTCCTTTGTTAGAATTATTTGGTTCTTGCTTATAAGATTTGTCAAAAGCTTCTTATCGTCTTTGAGTAAAATTGTTTGGTATAACTGAAGAAGGTAATGGTCTACGTTATCTGAAGGATTTGTTTGAACATTTGTGTAAGGGTTGTCGTTGGCTTCTCTTGAAAGAATTTGGTCCAGTGGTGGATACTCTAACTTAACATCTGATGTAGCGTTAGCGTTTGAAGCTGAGTTTAAATTCACGGCGCCATGCTCCAAGACCGAAGGTCCCGACTTAAGTTCTGGTTCTTTTTCTTTCAAACACTCCGAACTATAGTTCTTTATGACAATATTGTTTGTCGTTCGTGAGTCAACATTTGATGTTGGTTCAATTGGAACATTAACGGCACCAGCTAAGATGGATTTGCTTCTCATTTCATATAGAATAAAAACCTTTTATATGTATGAAATGAACAATATACTCGACAAGGGTTTGAATGTAAAGCTAACGAATGAAAATATTGTTGAATTCACTGAGACAGGTGCTGTGTATAAAGATGTAGAACTACTGAACAAAAGAGCTAAGGGAAGAAGCAGGAACATGAACAAAGGGTGGAAGCCTATAAAAATTTATGTCAATGATGGCTCGGGAGGTTCAAACATAAAGTATGCAGAAAGTTATAGAGTTTATGCTCTCAAAGGTGAAAAGCCTTCATTTAAGAACAGCTATTCTAACGCATATCCTCAAAAGCTAACGGATGGGGAAGTGGATGATATGAATGACAGCAAAAATATTAACAGAAATGGCGACAGAGATGCATGGAATTTGTTTACCATCAGTCAATTGAAGGTTAAACTTTAAAACAATGTTGGTCGTTCCCATGGAATATTTTTGACTTTAATGGTATTAGTCATGATATGAATCTCAAGGTATGAACGAGGAGAGATGAGAGACTTATATGCTTCCCAAATTTCTTCAAAAGGTAATGTTATACCTGACTGTTTCCAAATGAGTTCAATATCATAGCGTGAGAAACCTTGAAAGATAACGAAGTCAGTTATGAGACGTTTTATGTTTAAAGCTAAAAACCTCCATGTTTGCATAAGTATTGCTACAGTTAAGTGGTAATGTCTGACTTTAGTAATGATGTTAGCTAATGGTGAGTCAGGCTTTGACACTAAACCTTTTCCGGCGAAGTCGTCGCAAACGAGCAGAGTGTTTGAAGGATACTTTTTGAAGGGGTATTTTGAAAGTTTTGACAGAATGTAGTTTGTCAGTCGTTTCATATCGTAAACTCCTGAGTACTGACGTAAGTGGTGTTTGTCAATAATTCTTTCCATCTCCTCAGAAGTCTTTTGCATTCCTGACTGTATAAATTCAACGATGGCATAATATTTCCTCTTACGTCGAATGTAACGTTGAAGAAATTCAATGAGTTCGCTATCTGGAACTTTAACGACAGAGGCTTGAACTTTTGACATAAATGTTTTCGCTGTTGAGTCCATAGAGTCTGAAGTTGCTGATATAATGATTTGGTCATAGTAAGAGTCGTTTCCTAAACGCTCTGTTATGAGTATATGACGAATGAGGTTAAATGTCTTTCCTGACCCCATCTTTCCACAATAGAAATACACACCATTTGAACAGAACTCATAGTCCTTACTGAAAGGAAGAATGAGAGAACTGTTGAGCTTTTCACTACTTTCATTCATGTCTTCATCTACGTCATGTATTAAATGCTTCATTTTATCTCCATTAAAAATGCAAGTCAGAAATATTCAGAACATAGCACCGAGTCTAACTGACAAGAGTATAAAGATATACTATGAACACGTTATGATGAAACCTACCAAAATTCAAGAAAGTCAGTATACTTATGAATATCCAAGACACTGGGTAGAGTATGTAGGAGGTGAGAAAGCTATTGAAATAAGACAAGTTAGAAGTATTCCAGCAGGAAGAACAATATTATTGAAGAACTTTAATGTTTTGAGGTATAATGATGAAACAAAGAAGCAAGATAGTTTTCCTGTTGCTGTGTATGTGAACCTAGATACAGGAGATGACATGAAAGTTTTTAACACAAAGCTTCAAACGGTAGTGAGAGAACAACTGACTGCGGAAGGACATCCATTACCTTCAGAAGTTACCATAGCATATAATTTTGAAACAAACTCAATAGATTTTAAAGTCGTCTCTGCAAAGAAGTCAGGTTTTACATTTAATGAAGCAGATGTATATTCGAATGAAAACTTCAAAGCTATTGCATGGTTAGATAATGACGATTGCTTTAAGAAAATATTTAAATTCAGTGACTCAAAGATGTCAATAGATGACCTTCGTGGAATGTTACCATCGACGTTTACAGTAGTAGGTTCAGCAGGATTGCTTACAAGATTGTCAATTGGTGGTATTTGGTCTCGTGAGAACATTGTTATAAAATCCAGTATAAGTGAATTTGCTGAAGAATCTATATTATGTCTTTCAAACTATATGTATTCGCCGCCGAAGCATTATAGTATAACAAACTTTGTCAGTAAGTTTAACATAAGACTTGTCGAACCTTCTTCAATGAAAGATGTTGTGCTACCCAAAGACGGAAAGGATGGACTCATTATTGAAATGATTTTAATTGCATATTAAATGAGCTTGTTCTTGAAGGTCATTCATGATGAAATAACTGTTGTAGAAGATGTTAGCAATTGTTCAGACATTTTGAAGCGTATAGATGATATAAGAAAGAAGTTAGATAGACCGCAAAGCGGTGAGGGCGAAGCTCGTGAGAACGCTTATGTTTCATTGACTTTCTCCAGTAACGAGAACTTTTATGAGATAATATTGAAGAGAGATGATTTTAATATGGTGTAAATGGTAGCTTGGGCAGCTTTAGGCGCAATGGGAACAAAAGCATTAGCATTTGGAGCAAAAGCACTTGGAGCTTATGACGCAGTAAATAAAATGAGTGGAGGAAGGGTTTCGAAGACATTAGATGCAAATAAAGGGAAGATTGGAGGCTGGGTTGCAAAGAAGTTAAGATTAAATAAAATAGGGCTCATAAATAAAGCATCCAATTTGGTTGCGACTGCGTCAGAAAATGCTTTAGGAAAGGACGATGAGTTTGCAAAACACGCAAAAGACTTTAATGACCAGATGAAAGGTGAAACAATGCATTTAAATAGAGTTGATGGAACTAAAGAAAATGTTTCTTCTCCACCAGTAGTTCTTCCGTATGGTCCCTATGGAATGTATGGAAACCCTTACGAAAGACCATTTGACCCATTGACTGGTGGAAGTAACTGGTATCATTACGGACGAAGAAGAAAGACAGTCAAGTTGGAGACAGACGTGAAGAAAGCAACTAAAAAGAAACCAAGGAAGAGAGTTATAAAGCAATGAATTCAACAGGGTGAAAAAAGAGGTGAAAAAAGAGGTGAAAAAACAGGTGAGATCTCACCACTTCACCTAAATTTATTTTTGGTGTAAATTCACAAGGTTAGTTATCGGGTTAGATATCGGGTTAGATCTAACCTTCTACCCTAAATTTATTTTTGTTGTAAATTCACAAGGTTAGTTATCGGGTTAGATATCGGGTTAGATCTAACCTTCTACCCTAAATTTATTTTTGTGCTATGTTTTCATACGTGTGAGGGTGGTGATATCATTAATTTTTAAGTTTATTTTTTATTTTATTTTTATATAAATGACGAAAACTATTGAGATAACAAACTACAACGGTCATGAGTTCAAGAATTTGTTCTTCGTTCCTCGTGAAAATACATTCTATCAGATACGAGGGAGAAAGGGTAAAGTTAGTTTGAGCGTTTATGACTACAAGCATAATGGAAAGTTTATACAAGCATACGATACAAACGGTAAGCGTGTTTCATTAGCTTTGTCAAAACTTACTAACATTTATTTTGACAGTGATTTTGACCTATATGAAGAAGAAAGTGAGTCAGAAGATTATGAGCTGTTATGTGAAGCACAGCAATGGGAGGAGTTGCAATACTTTTGTAAGTGAGAACGTTTATTTTTACATTAGTGAGTTTGTTAGTGAAGTGGTTGGCGGCTTTGTAAATATTTAAGGTTAAGTTGGTGTTGTCGTTTGTGTTGTAAAATATACGTTAATGGTTTTGTAAAGTGTCAAATTCACATATAATGGGTAAGGAGGCGCGCAGTGTCGCCGTACCCATGATATGTATACTAACTATTCTCCTTCGTCAATGTTATACTGGTTTGCATATTCAATATAGATATCGTTTATTTTTTCTTGAAAAGCTTGAAGAGTTGTTTCTAAGTTTATAAGCAAACTAACTTGTAAAAGTTTTCCCTGTTCAAATTTCTCATACATACGTTTTTCTTTGTTATAGTATCGAACTTCAAAACCGACCGTAAATGGGAAAACATGTATGGCTTCTGAAATGAACTTCATTCTACGAAAGCCAATAGCTTTTGTGACGGATGGGTCTCTTAACCATCTTAATGGGTAGTCAAAACGATAGCCTTCATGCTTTACGGTATCTGTCTCAAACTTTTGACCTACATTAGTAAAAAGTTCATCTAATGGTTTAGTTGTAGCAACTCTAGAATTTTCTT